TAGTAAACTGATGTTTATTTCTTTGTAAAATCTTACAGAGAATCATCTCAATGATGTTTATTGTCTTATCATATAACTTATATATGAAACATCTTTTTTAACACTTTAACAAACTGCGATACTTCTAAGTTTGCATCAGCTTCCAGCATTTTATCCTTTGTGCTTTCAGTGTCCTAAGATATCTCCATGTTGCTTTAATGTGAAGATTTTTGCCAGCCTGTCACTTTCTCTATATATCTGTATCCTTTTCGTCACAGCCACTTTTCTCATTTATGTCAGTAAGTTTGCTTCTCCCAGCTTCCTCTGGCATATCTAGGGGCTCCCGAATGGTGACTAGTTCACTAGCTATTCTTCTGTTACTACATTTACATTTGATTCGAATTTCACTTCTAGCGTTACTCACTTTTCATTTCTTTGCTGCACCTTCAGCTTTGTAAGCTAATTTTGTCTTTTGATTATCTATTTTTGTACTGTCATGTGGCAGCACAACTATATGTTTTACTGCCTGTGTGTGATCTGAATAACAGATTACAGTGTCCAGTCACTTCCAGACTTGAAAGAAGTGACCTGATTGGTTACTGATCATAATACACATCTAGTATTTATATAGTGTTTTACAAACTGAAAAGCTAACAGTAAAGATTTTACTCTACTTTAAACCATGTTGTTAAGTAACTGGTGTTATTTAGTTAAACTGTGCCAATTGAAATTTGTGCATATCAAAACCATGTACAACAAGGACATCAGCATTGAAAATCGGAAGCTAGATCCCAAAGCATGTACAGATCCAAAGGTTGCTTTCACTTTGTTTCGCAGTTACTTTAGCTAGCAAATAAGGAAAAGATATAAAATCAAAGATGCATTAGAGGCAAGTGGCCTCTCTTTGCCAGAGTCCCCGTTGTCCTTCAAGATGATGTTTCTGAATTTTGATGGTCTCAGCAACCCGCTGTGTTTTCTCTTGTTGGGGATGCCTTGGAGAACTAGAGAGGCAAAATCCTCATTTCCACAACTAGTTAATGATAGCATAGCACTAGATGTTAGTTCTTTTGATACTTGGTTCTAGCATTTATCCTTTTACTACATTTGCTTTCTTCTAACCCCCTTCAAACATACTGTGTTCCTCCTGTGTGATGGGCTATAAGTAAATGTGGTCTTGGGACCTATTCTTTGTTGGAATGCCCTTAAAATAGTTACAATACCTCAAAAATGAAACCAATAGGATTTTCATTTCTCTTCTTGTAGGGACAGGAACATTGTACTTCTATAGAGTTTTGGACAAGGGGAGCCCTCAACTAGAATGTACACACCAGTTAACATTGCAAGATGAAATACCCTTTAAGCTTCTCCTGGATTCTAGCAGAACACACTTCTGATATTAGTTACAACTCCCATTCTGCTGTATGATGTTTTCTCTAACATAATGAAGCCTTTGGCCATCACTGCTGCTTTGAAAATCAAAGCCTTTTTGGTCTCTAATGGAATGTTTATGAAAATACTCCATTTTGAAATTTGCTCAGGAAAAGGAAGTATGGTAAATGATGTTAGAAATCCCTCTGGCTTGCCTTGGCATTGATTCATTTAATGACCTGTACTCTGGAAATATCTGGAATTAGTGTGAATAAGAGAGTATTAAAACCCAAAGTTAAATAAGCTCTTATCCTCATTGTTTTCTTCCTTGGAAGGTTAACATCATATATACATTCCTAATTGTTATTTCTATATGATCAAGTAAATTGCTTTTTGCCAAATTTAATATAGGTATCTAAGGTAAGCTAAAAAATTCCTAATACCTATGTCAGAAGTCTCATTCATCTGTTTGCATTCTTTTGCTGGGGTGAAAGTAGAAGGTTTTTTGTGGATGGAGCATTGCAGAATGGCAAGCCTGTACTGGGGCTAGCAGTAAATATAAGATGGTCAAACTCCTTGCTTTCCTGGAGGTTATACTCTAATGGGGAAGAGAGAATCAGAAAACAAATAAATTACTTGGATTGATTAATTAATTTATTAGTTCCGTGGCTTTCACTATGCATTTCTGTTCAGTTGCCCATCAGCATGGGTCCCTTATTAGCATGCTAAAATGGTCTGAGCACTCAAAGTATTATAGACTTGTAAGTATTGGAATGGAACTTTGGGGAATTGAGGGCAGTGACCTTTTAGAAAACAGTCAGCTCCATCAGTGACTTCTGCTTGCTTGTTCTCATATGTGCTCTGTTGCTGGCCTTTGTTGTTAGTTCTTGTGGCACTTCAGCTTTCTTTCAGAAGTAACACAAAAAATATGGTTAGGGTTATCATTTTTACTTCAACCCAGAGACACCCCCCCCCCCCGCCCTTTTTAACTTTTAGAAACACATCAGAGCAGCCCTGGCCGGGTAGCTCAGTTGGTCAGAGTGTTATCCAAATACACCAAGGTTGCAGGTTCAATCTCCAATCAGGGCACATACAGGAATCAACCAATGAATGCATACATAAGTGGAACAACAAATCAGACTCCCTCCCTCCCTCCATCTCTTCCTCTCTCTCTCTCTCTCAAAAAAGAGTCAATACATTAAAAAAAGCAAAAAAAAACACATAGGGGCAAATATAGCATTTTATAATGACATTATCTTTGAAATTCTAGGCTAAAGCCTGGAATAAGAAGCTTCTGTTATTTTGAGACATGTTCCTTATTTGCCTCTAGTCTTTGCGTATGTGAGCTTCTGAGTTCTCAAGGACATCCCTTTTGTAACAGACTTACTATCTAGTAACTATTTGATTTGAAATCGTTTGATGTTTTTTATCTGAGGACATCTTTATTATAAAAATTGCACTTAAGAAAAAAAAATTTTATCTTGGTAAGCAAATTTAGGGCTGTTGCTTTTGCTGTGTGCATTAAATAAACATACTATACAGTCTTTCCATTTAAAAATATGTGGGTTATTTCATTACGACAGAGTAGTTACAATCAAGAACTCACATTTTTGCTGAATGCGCTAAAGATCGTTGTCCACGTTTTAAAATTATCTTACAGAAACTATAGCTCTGTCAAATACAACATTTATAAACCAAAATATTTTTCTTTATCAAAGAAGGAAACACTTTCATCTTTCATTTAACCAAATACTCACAGTGGTAAACTTTGTCTTTAAAACAGGGAGGCTTGTTATTGTACTCGCTTTTGTTTTTGTTATACCGATGGTTTTTTTGCTTTACTTTTTAGAGGTCGAAGGGAATATGCTCTTTCTGAGAGTTCAGTTAATTGCAGTGCATAGATCAATATTCAGCAACAAGTCTTTAAGGCCCTTTCTAACCTTGAGATTTTATAAATCTATATTTACCTTTGCCCCTGCTTTTTTCTCTTAGTGATAAGAGCCAGGATCATATCAAGGGTAAGCTGAAGAATGAATTGAGCTACAGTTTAGGACGTGATAGGCATTGAATGGGAACCATAGAGCTTATAGTGGTGACTTTAAGAGGTGCAGTTACTGTTGGTTCCTTATGGTTTTTTTTCATACTTAGTACATTTTATTAATTGCAATTATTGTTATTAGGGAAAAAAGAAAGCAAAAGATAAACCCATAAAGAATAATAATTGTAAGAAGTCACCTTCTCAAGTACCTTCCTCCAACAAGACAACCCCTGAATTCTTCATGGATTAGTATTTAAAAAATCAAAGCAATGATTAAGAAAACTTTTGTGGAGAGAAGTTATTTTTTATGAGATTAGAATATAAGGCTCATGTTTATTGGGTGACAGAAGCAGTATTTTGAAAGAGAATTTTCCTTGGTGGCCAGATGGAATTTAAGGTAGACATTTCATGCCCCTTAAAGCTGGGATAGTCTTGATCTTTGTATTTCCAGCTCCATATATGCCACCAGCCCATAATAGGTGCTCAATCATTGTTTTCTGAGCTGAACCCATACCTGTTCTTTTTTTTTTTCTTTTTTTCATCCTCACCCGAGGACATTTTTCCATTTTTTACTCAGATAGAGTGGGAAGGAGAGAGAGGAAGAGAGAGAAACATCGATGTGAAAGGGACACATCGAGTGGCCGCCACCCACACAACCCAACCAGGGCCCGGGACAAACTGCAGCCAAGGCACATGCCCTTAGCGGGAACCGAACCCGGGTCTCTGTGGACCACAGGCTGACGCTCTAACCACTGAGCCAAACCGGCCAGGGCCCATACCTGCTCTTAAGGAAATATTGAAAACAAGATAATCCCAAGTAAAAGGAGTGAATTTTTGATGTGTTCTTTTTCAATTACTTTCCAAAATGTTCCTTCTCAGAAAATGTTTTTGTGTGTAATCTATTGGAACCACAAGCACTGATTTTATATTTCAGAGTTGGAGAAAATGAGATTGATGTTTCATATAATTGTAAAATGCCAAAAATAAGTAGAACTGAAATGAGTTAAAGCCCAGTGTTCAGAAAGGCCAAGTAAAAGCTTCAGATCAAGGGTGGCTGGCTATAATTGAAAGGATCCAAATAAGTATTTAAAACCACTCCTGCTGAGACTGCTAAGATTTCTGAATTTCAAATTGGCATTTTATGTTTGACAAGGTGACATTGTATAAGAAATGTATTATAAAACACTGCTGTACGATAGGAAAATGATTGAATGTAAATATTTCAAGATGTGGACCACTGTTCAAATGTTATCATAAATCTTTGCCATTGTTTTAGGGGATAACTCTTCATGCATATATGAGCTGAGTTGATAGAGCTAGCTCTTGGAAGGAACATCTCCAGTGAGTTTCTGCCTCTGTGCTACCACTAGTCTGATTTAACCACAAAAGTATTCTAGTAAATCTTTGCCATTACTATCATATGATTATTATTAAATAAGTTGGAAAACCCTTTTTTTTGAAGATACTACATCTGGCATTGCTTTTGTCCTCTTCATTGAGTGGTCTGAAATACCACGAAACTAAAATGAGCTGAGACAGTTAGCACTCTTAAACTTTGAGATGGAAAGGAAAAGGCTTGAACTGTAAGGTTAACTATCCTTCCATTTTCTTGCAGGTTTGGAAGGTTTACAATGGCTGCTCTTCAGTCCAAAGTAGAACAGTATGAACGTGAAACCAATCGCCTCAAGAAAGCCCTGGAACGAAGTGATAAATATATAGAGGAACTAGAATCTCAAATTGCACAGCTAAAAAATTCAAGTGAAGAGAAGGAAGCTATGAATTCCATTTGCCAGAAAGCACTTTCTACAGATGGCAAGGGGAGCAAAGGCAACGAGGAGGATATGCCATCAACGAATCAAGGCGATGGTGCCAGAAAGCAGCTTGGCTCATCGACCCCGAGTTCTCACCTGGCACAGCCTTCTAACAGCTCTGCCCGGCAGGAAAGCACCAGCAAAACAGAACTAAATTGTTCTAAGAACAAAGACCTATATCAGAAACAGGTGGAAATAATGTTAGGTGCGACAGATGCAAGTATGGATACTTATTTGGAAAGAGAATGGGGTAATAAGCCAAGTGACTGTGCACCCTACAAAGATGAACTTTATGATCTTCCAGCTCCTTGTACTGCTTTGTCCCTTAGTTGCCTTCAGCTCAGTACTCCAGAAAATAGAGAGAGCTCTATGGTCAAAGCAGGAAGTTCCAAAAAGCACTCGAACCATCTCAGAAAATTGGTGTTTGATGACTTTTGTGATTCTACAAATGTCTGTAATAAAGATTCTTCAGAAGATGATAAAAGTGAAAATGAAAAGAAATCAGAATGTTTTACTTCCCCAAAGACTGCGTTTTGGGATTGTTGTTCTGCAAACTATGCCCAAAGTTTGGATTTTGAAAGCTCAGAGGGGAACACAATAGCAAATTCTGTTGGAGAAATTTCTTCAAAACTGAGTGAGAAATCAGGCTCATGTTTATCTAAGAGGTTGCATTCTATTCGATCTTTTGAAATAAACCGGACAAGAACATCCAGTGAAGCCTCAATGGACGCAGCTTACCTTGACAAGATCTCTGAGCTGGATTCAATGATGTCTGAGTCAGACAACAGCAAGAGCCCTTGTAATAACGGTTTTAAGTCAGTGGATTTGGATGGGTTATCAAAGTCATCTCAAGGCAGTGAGTTTCTTGAGGAACCAGATAAGTTGGAAGAAAGAACTAAGCCAAACCTTTCCAAAGGTTCTCTAACTACTGATCAGTTAGAAAATGGAAATGAATGGAAACCCTCTTCTTTTTTCCTCCTCTCTCCATCTGACCAAGAAATGAGTGAAGATTTTTCACTCCATCCCAGTTCTAACTCAGGAGCTAATGAACTCAAACCCCCAAGCTGTTTATTTCAGACTGAGTTTTCCCAGGGTGTTTTGTTAAGCAGTTCACATCGGCTATTTGAAGATCAAAGATTTGGTTCATCTTTGTTTAAAATGTCCTCAGAGATGCATGGTCTTCATAACCACCTTCAGTCTCCTTGGTCTACTTCTTTTGTGCCTGAAAAGAGGAATAAAAATGTGAATCAATCAACAAAAAGAAAAATCCAGAGCAGTCTTTCCAATGCCAGCCCATCAAAAGCAACTAAAAGTTGATTCATTAGAAAGATGTAATTTATGTTTTTGTCCTGAGAAGTATATATGTTTTTAAAGTTAACCCTTTTTCCTTCATAAAAGTTCTGCACAATTTTGAATTGATAATCTTTAGTCAAGTATCAAATCAGAATGGTAGGTTAGCTTGTACCCAGGATACTTTTGTTCATTTCAAAGAGTTTGTTCTTTTTCATTCTCATTTGGGAATCTTTTTGAACAGAAGGTAGGCAGAGGGTTTCCTTTTAATAAATACTCTATGTATCTGGTGTGGGTATTTTGTTTTGAATCTTGATTTAACTATTAGATCCAGTGGCCTATTAATAAACCTCAGTTATCTTCAGAACTAGGATTTCTTAAATAAAACTGTAAGTGTTGTCTACACACTGCTTTATAAGACATTTGAGTTTCTTTAAAGCTTTTCCTAAGGTGGACATTATTTTGCCTGCCCTCTTTTATTTATGTCTAGCAGTGGCCTAACTTCTATGCAAGGCCATTCTGGAGAAATAGCACTCTAACCTTAGACAAATATTCATTTACTTTTTAAAGGTTTTATGTATGTGTTTGTATTTTTAATATAATGTTTTGTTCAGTTTTTTAAAAAATGCTAGTATGAAAGAATACGTTTCTATATGAAAATATTTGTTTTATATCAGATAACTTTCACTAATTCATCTTTTTGTGTGTAGTGAAAAATGAGTCTACTTTGGAAAGAAAGCATGGAACAATTGGATGTGGAGGAGCCTAAACTTGGTAGCTTCATTGTTCCAGATATACAGGTGCAAAAGCACTCACTAACAAGCTCTTGATCCACTTATGTGGATCTTCCAGGGAAGCTTTTTTGGAGTGATCAAGTTCTTGTTTGCATGTTACTATTCTTTTTAAAAACTCTGTGCATGGTAGCATTCTTTCTTGCACTGTTTTTCTTAAGAAAAAGAAGTTTCATTTGGCTAATAGAATGTCTTCTATGTAGGACAAAAATTTTCTTTTTGATGAAGAGTGTTGGGGTGAGAATAGGTGAGCTAAGCACAATTTATAATTTAGGCTCTGAAAAAGTATATTCTAAACATGTGGTATGGCTATATAGGCTTTTAAAAATGGTTTGTATGCTAATGATTTGTTTAGCTAATGTGCACTGAACATTTTACATTGATACCATGCTATTTTACATTGATACTGCATGCTTTTCTATGTGGACTGAATAAAGGATGTCATAAGCACTGTAATCTTTGATGTTGTCTCAGATACTGAATTAACCTGTAAAGACCAAACTTACCATTTTTAAATGATCTTACAATATAAGGTTGACAAACTGTGACCCATGGACCAAATCTGGCCTGCCTTTTTGTGAAAGGCCTATGAACTAAAACTAGTTTTACACTTTTTAGTAGTTTTAAAAAATGCAAGAAATATTTCATAACACAGGAAAATGATAATTCAAATTCCAGTGTTTCTAAATAAAGTCTTATTAGAACACAGCTACACTCATTCGTTTACTTCTTATCTATGGCTGCTTTTGCACTGCATTGGCAAAGGTGAATAGTTGCAACAGAGATCATATGTCTCACAAAGCCTAAAATACAGAGACTTTTGTTATAATAGACTAAGGATTTAACAAAACCATAAACATATAACATCACTTTTATGATTTGGAGAATCATGCCCTCCACTTCTAGAAGTAATAAGACTAAATAAATTTAAAAACTAATATAATGCATTTTTTTGTTTTATCATACATATTTTCCAATAAGTGTTTGTGTATCAGTTTATCTCTCTGATATGTTAAAAGCTAATGAATACTTCCAGAGATATTAGCAATTTAAATACCTTTGATGGTGTGGTTATACATTTGAAATTTTATTAAATGTAGAAATCTAAATTTTTTCTGAATAGAATAAATTTGAGGGTAAGCCTCTTACTCTGTCTGTAACTTCTGTACCATGAATGTATCAGTTTTTAATTCAAATATATATTGACACTGTGCCGTGGAATCCATTGTGTAATCTGATTTACTAATGCTTACCTGGGGTGAGAGTTTCTATAGTGGACCAGAGTATTTCCCAGCTGCTTCAGAAACACTTCTCCATCTTCCCCAAAACACTATTTCATATATTAAATGAATCAAATCTTTAAATTCCTTAGTTGAAGAGAATAATATTGTAGGATTTTATTTTAATCACACATTCTCATTTGTCCTCTTTACATCTATGTCATGACAAATATGGTAGTCTCTATTTTTTAATATATTCATTACATACACACACTAAAAAAATCTTTTATTGAAACCAAGTAATTTGCTAACCTCTTTCTCATAATCCTCTTTTCAAATTCTGTAAGCCAATTACTCTCCCAATTTCACAAATAAGTGAATTGAGGAATAGTGGTCACATGCAGCTGCAATGGGATAGAACTATTTAGAGCTGGGTCTCTAACTCTAGAGTTTTTACTCTTCCTCCCTTATGCATGAGAGTTCACATTTCTAAGCCAAAGAATGAAGGGATATGAAATTTCCAAGGATTCTTTTAGACATATTTTTGAAGTATTAGCATGTTCTTTTTCAAGTAGCATTTAATTCCTGCCTATGTAGTAGGATCTGACTGTACTACTAAGTGCAAGATCGATGGAAATGTGTGTGTGTGTGTGTGTGTGTGTGTGTGTGCAGGTGCGCACCACTTTTAAGTTTATAAACATTCACATTAACTCAGACATGTAGATGAATTTAAAAATAGCACTAAGGCTATGTTAGAAAAAGATGCACTAGTGATAAAGGAAGGAGACACTTATCAGTTCATGTCTTTTTAAAAACAGCATCTGTCGACTGTTCATCTTTCCAAAAATGCTATGGCTAAGACAATGTGACATGCTAGATTTTTTTTTGACATGACCTTGTTCATCTTAATTTTCAAAATCTACATCCCATTCAAAGCAATTCTTTTTCTTGTTTTAATGGGTCAACTGAGACCAAAACCGAAAATGGTAGACCTTAAGATTTATAGCCCCTTAATTTCAAATCTACTTTGTTTTCTTGTGGCCTACTTTGTATTTACCTTGGTTTGAAACAACTGAAGGTAATGCTGAACAAGGGAAGAACTTTGGTCTTGGACCCTAAGATGTTTCAGGAACTTGTTTCTATATACTTCGATGCTTTCACTTTTGCACTAGATTTTTTTTCCTTGCTTTTGTCCCTGTGAATATTTGTAGAGATCAAACTGAGATTAACAGTTTAACTTTATTGAATGTGGCCTATTAGATTAGAAGGGTTTCCCAAAGCCTCCTAAGAAGGTCTTTCATTCCTATTTGTGGGAGTCCTACAACAGTCTTTGCCTGTGTTGTAACCTGATCCTTCTAATAATACTTGGCAGAGAGAAAACCTTTTAAGCCATGATCTCAGAGTACATAGCGAACATTTATTGCCTAATTCTCGGAACCTCACTCTGGGTGAGGAAACATCTATTAAATGCAGATTTCTTTTAAGAACTCATCTGGAACTCAGGCTAAGGTGATTTTCGGTTTTATGTGACAGTCAGTCTGGAATACCTTGCATTGAAGCTCCACCTCTTGAAAGAGGGTACATTCCTAGGTCTCCTGTATTTTAACAGGGAGCAGATCTCTTCCAATAAATGTTAGTTGGATTAACCAAATGCGTGGAAGCTGGGCCCTGTGTGACATTTATAATTTGGGGTTGGAAAAATCCAGTCCCTAAGGTCAAGGATTTGACTGATTTAGGCATTTACTGAGAGTTTCTGTGAGGAGGGAGGACCCAGTTCTAGTCCGTTATAATTCTTACAACATTGGTGAGTGGGAAAGTGCTCGTGTTGGGGAGATCCTGGAGCAGAGAGGAAACCAGATGGCTTCACGTTGGTGCTATTTATTGTATTGGGTCTTGACGGATGAATAAAAGTTAAATGATAAATAAAAGTTAAAAGAGGACATATCTTCTGCGTGTCGGCTATGCTGGATGGGGCGCCCATTCAGCCCACCCTTAGAAGAGGTGCAGAAGGAACCATTCTCTAAGGTCAGGGTAACGGATTGAAAAAGGCTTCCAGACGCTCCAGCCCGAGCTTGCAAGTTTGTCTTTGCCCCGCCTACTCCCTCTGAGCGTCCCCTGAGACTCCAGGCTTGCCCTCGCCGCTAAGGACGGCGGCCTGATGGCGAGACAGTGACTCCCCGGGCGCTGGAAGGCTCAGGAGGTGGCAGGACTGGCCCATCATCTGTCCATTAAGCCGAGGCTTGGCGCTCCGAAGGCCGAAGGCGCGACCTCGCCTCACTCACAGGGTCAGCTTTGTGCTGGCGAGGGGGCGGGTGAGGTCTGGCCCGCCCGCCCGGGCTCTGAGTGGTCTTTTCTCCCTCCGGTTCCAGCGAGCCCAGCCTTCCCGGATTCCCGCAGCCAGTACCGCTCCCCTCCTGCTCCCCACTAGTCTGCGGGGACCACAGATCCGCCCGGTGGCCCTCCGGCCGGAGTTTCCGGCGCTTTTGAGGGCACTCTCGGTTGGTCCCTCCCCGTCCCCATCCGAAGAAACGACTGGCTCTGCGATTTCCTTTCATTTTATTACCACTCACGAACCTGGCGATTAAGACGCGAAACCAACAAAGAGTTTTCTTCCCACCTTAACCTTGCACACAATCCTTTAACAAATTAATTAATCCTAATGAATTAACACTTCATTTATTTAAACGCGCTACAGTCCATGAATTAAATTTTCATGCAGTGATTAAAGGCTGTTAAAATATGCATGATTTCGTTAAAATTTTATAATAAATCAGGGCAATGTGTTACATGACAAGGCAACTATTTCCCAGTCCCTCGCAAGAGGCTTTGATTTGTGCGGGCGGCGGGGAGGAGGGGCAGCTGGCGGCGGCGCAGGCGAGCGTTGGAGCGGGGCTACCGGACCCAGCCTCCTCACCCTGGCGTTTGGACTGCGGCTTCGCGCTTTTCCTCTGCGGCTTCTGGACCCTTTGGGGGATCTTGCCCCTCCAGGCAGAGCTGAGCCTGCAGAGGTCGACGGAGCCCGCCTCTCGGT